AGCACACTAAAAGTTTGTCTGTGAACCTTACCTCCCATAATTGCATCCACGTTACCAGTAGGACTATCATCGCGCCCACGGAATGCCTCACGCTCAGCGAGTCTACGCAAAAGCAGCAATCGCATTCTCAATGTGCGTGCAGAAGGTAACGCGAACGACGTCTTGTTAAACAACTGCGCATCTCTAGAACATGAAATATTAAGTTAATAAACGCTTACGTAAGGCTGGTTGGACAAAAAGACCTGGGTGAGGTGAATAAGGGACGTACCGAAAAGGAGAGCAACAGGGGAAAGAGGAGAGCGTCCTATCCGCCACTTAGAAATAACGCTGCTTCGGCAGTGTTATCCCGGTACAAAGGGTTGCAGGTGATGTGATGTAGATTTGGCGACATTGAGCTCATAGTGTTGCTTAATAATGATTTAGTACGCTTGCTGAAATCCTACGACCTCAGTTGGTAATCAATTTACTAAGTGGTTTAAATGCGTTATGATGGTTAATCATTTTCCCGCCTCACGCGTAGCAGCCATAGTGGATGACTCGCTTGCATCCCGACGTATGTTGAAGGGTCCTTATCTGGACTTCGTATCGGTGGAGAAGGATCTGAAAGAGTTTCAGATTAAAACGGCGACATCCTTTATTCGTCTGAACGTGCAATCTGCGAAGGCGTACGAAAGGGAGACTGGACAGGTGCTACCGGAAGGATGCCCATACCGATATATTCTGTTTGTATGTGTGCATGGGAGGCGCAGCAATGTCACTGGAAAGCGGTAAGTTCATTGCAATTGCCTCATGATAAGATTACTATGGGTACCGATGTTACAATTGCCTTGCGCGTTTTTCTGTTACGTATAAGGGCGAATGTTACGAAATTGGGAATGCATATCTGTGGCATTCGCACAGCTTCCAAGTTGGGAAGCCTTGGCTGTATGCGCGTAATCGGAGGCTAGCAGAAGAGCAGGAGAGGCTGGTGCTTAACTTAATGAGAACGTTTCGTCGGACTCAGGAGATGCGTGCCTTTGTGCGGCAGCAGTATGACATTCGTTTAACAAGGAGGGATTTGTATGTCATGCGGCGGCGTCATCGTAAGGCCTGTGTCACTGAGGTGGAGGAGGTGACTCAACTGTTGCAAAGAAATGGTGAGGTGAAACTTCTGCATGCGGGTAATCAGATTCGTTACCTATTTTTCGTACCTACGCGCATGCTTGAATTGGTGGGCCAATACGGCGAGGTAATTTTGGCGGACTCCACGTATCAGATCAATTACGGAGGCTACATCCTGTAACATTGCACGTTTGTGGACGTCAGCGGCCTCGGTATGAGTTTCTTTTATGCCTTGTTGCCTAATAAGACGGAGGTAGCTTATGAGGAGGCAGTGAGAGGTATGTTGGAATTGGCCCCCGCGGTTGCCGGTGTTCGGACGTTGGTGATGGACAAGTGCACCGCGCAAGTGAATGCGTTCCGTAATGCGTACCCAAATGCGAACATTGTTTTCTGCCGGGTACACATTATGCGTGACATGCGGCGGCGTTGCTCACGCCTTCCGCTGTGTAACGCTGAAGATAAGAGAGCTCTATTCAGCATGCTGCGGTCATTGTTGTACACGTACGACTGCGCTCATTACCATCGGATTTTGGAAGCGATATCTCTGCGGAGCGCAGAATGCTTCCAATAACTGCGTCGTACATGGATTCCATGGCGGCTTAGCTGGGTGGCGCATCTGATGGGCCATATAGTTTTATTTGGATGCGACAGCACCAATCGTATTGAAAATGAGAATAAGCATCTGAAACAAACTTTGAGTGAACGGCCAACGCTACTTCACCTGTTTCAGGTGATAGTGCAGCGTGCCAGTAGCATGACTGAGCAGAGGGAAACACTGCTGGTCAGAGATCAACTTGGTGAATGCGCCGGTGAGATGCCCCAGTGATGTAGTTCTTGACCGGGCGGCGAAAATTCGCATCACTCGGGATATGTTTGCGGCTCTGGAAACGCAGATTCTGAGCATGGGCACGGAGGAGTTCCAGCGCACCATGGGCGTGTTTGCATGCGTGCGGGAGCTGCTCACAAGTCACAGTAATGTTCAGCTTTACGCGCGCTCATCGCAGTTGTAACAACTGCAACCGTTATCCTCGGAAAACCTGCCTACTTTCCAGGGAATGCCGCCTAACCCATCGCTTCCTCTCACGACCACAGAGCCTCCTGTCACGTACTGCCGCCGCCATGTGCAGTTGCATTGATACGTAGTTACAGGTAACATAGCTTTTCAATGCTCACCTATATTTCAGAGCCACTGACATCTGCCGCCCAACGCCTTGTTTCCTGTCACTGTCACAGAGCCTTCTGTCACGTACTGCCGCGCCATGTGATGTTGCATTAATACGTAGTTACAGGTAACATAGATTTTCAATGCTCACCTCTATTTCAGAGCCACTGACATTTGCCGCCCAGCCCCTTGTTTCCTCTCACTACTACAGAGCCTCCTGTCACGTACTGCCGCGCCACGTGATCTTGCTTTGCTACGTAGTTACAGGTAACATAGATTTTCAATGCTCACCTCTATTTTAGAGCCACTGACATCTGCTGCCCAAAGCCTTGTTTCCTCTTGGGATTGATTGAACGTCTGCTTGCCATATGTTCGGGCGAGACTCAACCGTACTCTGGTAGCGTCTAGACGAAGTACAATGGAAGAGCAAACAAACATGATCACTGGAACCCAGTGGAGGTCCGTAAGTAATGTCATCAACAAAATCGAATGACTTAGCGAATACAAGGTCTAAGATAGACGGTACTTGGGCGTCCATGTACCTAGTGGGGAGGTCAATTAACTGGTGCAAAGATACTTTGAGCGTAAGTTCAAGCAGATCAGCGCCAAATGTGCCTGACGCTGAGTCGCACGAAAGATCTGCCCTGCAAATCTCTGGGAGGTTGAAGTCGCCCATCACCAAACACTTATTTGCGGACTGGGAACGAAGGAATTCAAGTACCTCTTTGGATACGCTCCCAGGGCTTCTATACACAATTACAATCATAACCTGAGCCGAGGATGTGCTAATAACAGCCGATAGGGCTTCAACAGTTTTGTCTGCCGACTGAAATAAGCAAGTCTTCAAAACGTCAAGTTTACAGCTCACATAAAGAGCGACGCATCATCCCTGTCGGCCAGCAGAGCGATCGCATCTAAATAGTGCGTAGCCAGATAGATGTACTTCACCATCCGTGATGTCCTGAGATAGCCACGTTTCAGTGAATGCGAGTATATCGGGATGAGACCCATCTACAAGCAGACCTAACTCGTACACCTTATTCCTTAGGCTGCGCACATTACTTAGCACTATCTGAAGTTTTGCCTTAGATCCAGACCTGGGTCGTACGCTACCAGTACTGGCACTGGTAGGGCGGATAAAGACCGCCGGCTGACCACCCGAAAACCCACTAACCGGAGACCTTGTTCACCGGCCGCTCGCCTGCTTTTGAGGTCCTTGATGGCCTCCCTTAGCTTCAGCCCACCGGCTAGCGGAAGATCCGGCTGAACGCTAATATTTGTACCTTTCAGCTTAAACGCAAACCGCATAAGAGCATTGCGTTCCTCCGGGGTAGAGAGTACCACACGAAGTAGCCGCGGTCGCGGGTTTGGTACGTTAATTGGGACGTTCCCCAGTCTAATCAGCTTCCTGACAGTAACGCCTGGAAAACCAGGCGGAAGAAGCTTCGTTACACACATTTAAACCATTGAAGGTCGTCCAACATGCGATCAGCGGGAAGGACAGCAGTAGATTCAGCCGCGTTACGGAATATAACGCTACTATCCGTGAAAGAATCGCCACGACGGGGTGTATTAACCCCACGGGTCTTTAATTCGGCACTCGGAGCAGGTGGCTTCACTACTGGTGATGGGACTGTCTTTAGCCCCTCCGATGATGCAGCAACGGCAGCGTATGTTGTTCGCTCCATTGTCGATGTCTTACTTTTGTTAGGGCCATCGATTTCACCGGAAGGCTTTATAGCAGATTTTGTCTGCTTTTTCTTCTTGCTAACAGGAGCAGGGTCCCGTGAGGCTTTTTCGCTTTGAGCAGAATCAAGCACACCTTCAGAATATGTCTTCTCGGTGAGAACCAAGATTTCCGGCAACTTCGGCTGATAAGTAATGCGTGTTGTGATCTTCGCCTTCGCACAACCGTCAGACGGTTAAACAAGTAACGACACTTGGCTTATTTCCGGTGCCGAGACAACTTCTTGTTTAGCAGAGAGCTTACGAGGTTTCCTGGCTCTTCTTCGCTTTACTCGAAGTGACCCTTGAACCAGCAATTTGGCGTCGATCAGCGTAGGTGTAGATCTGACGTCCGAAACTGCTCCATTTTGATGGTCGGTAGCTATCTGGACCGGTGACATAATGATAGGTGCTACAAGCTGGTCATCGGTGTAAGCAATCAAATCTGCTTTGTTGGAGAACGGAAGCGTCGTCATAAGCAGATCAATGTTATAGCGAAGATCAGAAAGCATCGGGAATCAACGCTCTACATTTCGCAGCCGGGTATCAAGAGATTTATCTCTCGTACGAAAGGCTGTGCGGCCTCGGCGGCCGCTGCAGCAATTGGCACAACTGAACAGCAACTTTTCGCTAGAGGCCAGCGCTGCGTACTGCTCGGTAGTTAGCTCTGTACAAAGCTGATGGTACCATCGGTTGCAGACATCGCATTGCATACCGCCTGAGTCATCAGTTACTGGTACATTGCAGCTTGGTCCGCCACAAAGTGCGATTACCTCAGAATCCGAGAACTTCAACAACGCCTGTAGTCATCACTTTAATTTATCCTAACCGTTTTCACGAAGCACATCCATATAGCATTATTTTTTATTACCGCGCACCTTCATACCACCAAAATTAAGAATATCCTCTGCAGCCATTCAAACAAAAGGTGTTACCGAGGACAACGCTAGCAAAACCTTTCCCGCCATGACAAAATTAGCCCTTCCCACAAGGAAACCGGGGAGCAATCAAATGACCGCGCACTTCTATTTCCGGGACAAAAAGGTATGCAAACAAACACTCAGGCTTACTTTAATGCAAACAAATCCGCATTATACCTCACTTTATAATCCTTTGACGTAATTATACGTAACGTTTGATTGCTCAACAAAAGGCAACGCCATCATCTGCGGATAGCCAGCTTCGTTGCGTTTCGTTTCCGTCTTGAGGATTCTCTGAATTTACTGAGTACGGGGTACAATGTCCACAAAATGCTTGGATTGCTGTAAGGCTGTCTCTTCTCGCTCGAAGGCCGTTCAATGTTCCTTCTGCGAAGCGTGGCTTCACATTGCATGTTGTAACGTCAGACAATATCTCTACGATCCACTGCAAAGGACCATTTCCTCAGTCGTCATCCTTATGTGTGACTCTTGTCGGACTGGGCTGAGTGTCAGGCGTGTTTCGGATGGTCTACCTGCAATTAGTCCATGTACTTCATGTCTCCATTCTGTGCAAAAGAAAAAGGATGAACCGCTGCTCTCTATTTTGCCTTTGTCTGTTGCTGTCCTCGACACGTCCCCTCCAAAGCAAACTCTTGTTTTTTCAACCTCATCCCCAGAACCATCGCCCATTGTCCGGCAGTTCAAAGAACGCAAGGAGAGGACGTATGCAGTGGTAGCGGGTAGCAGCGTAACTCCGGTACCCATGATCCCAGAGACCGCTAAATAAGCTGAAGAAGAAGAAGGCTGCAAAACCTAAGTATAATTCAAACTCTTCTCAGCCATAACTAAAACATGTTATCGATAAGGTGAATCAATTGGAGAATATGATCAAGACAAGCCTTACCTTGAAAAGCCGCAACAAAATGAAAAAGCCGATTTCCCGAAAGGGAACGATGTCTGATCATCGTAAACGCCCCTGAGTCTATTAAGGAATCCTAGGCTGAAAGGATATTGGAGGACCAAACGTTTCTGAGACGGATGGTTTCGTTACTGGTTGATGCTGGGGAAAAGGGCATAAATTTCGTTTCCGCTTTTCGCCTCGGCAGGAAGCCGCATGACTCCTAGCAAGTTCGCCCCCTAAAGGTAGTCTGTCAGGATGAAGAGGAATGCCGCCGTATCCTCCAGCATACCTCACGTTTGAAAGGAGAAACGTTTTAGGTTTTGAGAGACCTCTCCCCAGAAGATCGAGTTAGAAGGAAGCAGGCCGTTGATGAACTACGTATCCGACGAGCAGCTGATGAAAGCGACCTTCACATTGTGGATATTCGAGTAGTAAAACGAATCCCGGGGACTCGGTGGAGACCAATTTTCGTTCTACCGGTGCACTGAGAATCAGGAGTGGATTGCGTGTAATATCGGCGAGCGTGCGTAGTTTGAGAAACAAAGTGGATGAGATACTGCTCATGACTTCGGAGCGAGAACCCCATCTGATGGCTTTTACGGAGACTTGGCTATCCTCGGATATTTCGGACTCGGAGGTGTTTATTTCAGGGTACCAACTATCCCGTGCGGATCGTCTAGCAGGGAGATCCGGGGGCGGTGTTGCACTTTACTGGAAGTCAGACCTTAAAGTTCACACAGTGGAAGCCATGTGTGATCTCGATGGAGGATCGGAAATCCTTTGGAGTAGGGTGCACGATGGGTTCCGACCGCTCGTAGTGGGCGTTATCTACAGATCCCACTTGGGAGCAGGATCCCACCTGATAGACTCTATAAGGATGCACGGGGGAGGCAAAGATTGTTTGATTGTGGGTGACTTCAATGCTCCGGCCGTAGACTGGGATGCACTTCATTATAACTTATCTCCAGATTCTTTTGATACACGTTTATTAGAAATAGTCCTCGAATGCAATCTAGCGCCATACGTTTTATCTCCTACCCGTTTTTTCCAGGTCATGTGCCACACATCCTTGACCTTGTGCTCACACCTAGCTCATCAGATGTTTCCGCTCTAGCTATTCTTCAGCCTCTTGGCAAAAGTGATCACTGTGTAGTCTCCTTTTTGTGGACACGACAGTTAGCTTTCAATGTCCAAGGAGCGCACCGCCGAAACTTTTGGCGAGCTGACCCCCTCCGCTTAAAATTGGCTGCCAGCCTCATGGACTGGAACATCCCTCATCAGTTGGATCTCGATGCTGCTCGGGACCTTTTGTGCTCCAAAAGGATGTTTATCATTGATCGGGTTGTTCCAAGGGTCACAAAACCATTTTTCTCCAAAGGACCCTCGTGGATAGATCGGGAAATGAAATCGCTCATGATGAGAAGGCGGAAACTTTGGGGTCGGTTCAAGTTCTCTCAGACGACACAAGATTACGCGCATTACAAAGAGGCTAGAAATTTATGCACCCTGAGCAAGCGCGAGAAGCGAGAATTATATGAGCAGCATCTGGCAGAGCAATCTGTGGTTAATCCGAACAAGATTTTCGCATACTTAAAAAGAAGCACCAAAGCTGGCAACGGTATACCCGCACTGTATTCAAGCAAAGAGGACAACATGCTTCATGATGACATGGCGAAAGCTTGTTTACTAGCTCTGCAATACTTTTCTGTGTATACGACGGAGGCGCCGTTAGCTGTTGAGGACACTTCCTATCACCCCTCTCCATTAAAACATGTTGCAATTACCACTGATAGAGTATTGGAACTGCTACTTGACTTGAACTCGAATTCTTCACCGGGTCCCGGTGGCTTGCATCCCGTGTTCCTCAAAGAGGTGGCGGAGTTCATTGCTGCACCAATTTGTCAAGTATTTCGTAGCTCAATTGAAGCAGGTCGTCTCCCAACTAAATGGAAAGCAAATGTCGTGAAACCCATGTACAAAGGTGGGAATCGCCAAGATCCAGTGAACTACCGACCTATTTGTCTGTCATCAATCCTCTGTAAAACAATGGAAAGGATTTTGAAACAGGCCTTGCATCTTCACCTTGAGAAATTAGACGTCATCACTCCTGCTCAGCACGGATTTCGATGGGCACGCTCTTGCATTACCAATCTGCTTGTTGCCCGAGAAAAATGGGCGCAGTCAGTAGATGCTGGTCATCGACTTGATGTAGTTTTTGTGGATTTTAGCAAGGCGTTTGATAGGGTTCCACACAAGCGACATCTTAGCAAACTTTGGCAGATTGGCATCACTGGTAAGTTGCTCGCCTGGATCGCGGATTTCCTAGGTAACCGTAGTGTGAAGGAGAGTTAACGAAGTCGACTTTGTTCCTGTTCTTATGACCAGTGGGGTTCCACAAGGCTCCGTACTTGGTCCCGAACTATTCAAAAGCTTCATCAAAGATCTCCTGGAGGTGCTCCAAATAGACTGCTTGATCTATGCTGATGATCTTAAACTTTGGTCGGAAGTATCTAGGCTTGAAGATGCTGACAGGTTGCAGCTGACGCTCGTTCTGTTGCACGATTGGTCGGTCAAGTGGCAAATGCCTAGCAATCGTGATAAGTGCTGTGTTCTCCCGATCGGTGAGCAGGAACCTTTCGGTGCTTACCACATCGGTGGTTTGCTGTTGAAGAATGTGGTTGGTGAGAAGGACTTGGGTGTACTTATTTCTCCAGACCTAAGAACAACGCAGGACACGTTGCGGAAGGTAGCATCTGCCACTAGGACGCTCTGTGCCATACGAAGGTCGTTTTACAAATTGACTCCGCAGAACTTCAGGCTCCTGTTTTCCTCCCACGTTCGTCCAATACTGGAATACGGCCTACCTGCCATACACCCACTCACGAAATTTGAATGTGAATTGATTGAGAAGGTGCAGAGGCGGGGATCCAAGTCTGTGTCTATGCTACGTGTTTTACCTTATCCCCTTCGTCTCCAATGCATGAACTTATTTACTCTGGACTACCGCCGTCGCCGTGGTGATTTGATTTATACTTGACGCCTTTTAAGGGGCACTTCGGGGAAGGAGTTGCTGCAGTTTTTCCAGCTCAACACAGATTGTTCAACATGGGGCCACAGCTTGAAACTTTTCAAACCTCGGCGGAACCATATCGGGTCTGATATCACGTTATCCACAAGAGTTGTAAATGTGTGGAACAATCTTCCTGAATGTGTGGTAAGTGCCCAGACAGAGGAATGTTTTAAAGAACGATTGGACAAGTACATGCTGAGCATGCCTGGATTCCGCTGTTTTTGCTACAGCTGCAACAATCCCTCGGAAAATACAGTTTAGCATCGACAGGTCATCCAGCCAATGAACAGGAGGTGATGGAGCTGACACGGGTCTTCCCTTCTGCTCTCTACAACTCTATGAACTCTATGAAAGAACTTCCTTTGTATTAATTTTGGACCAATCATGCATCTACATAGAAAGCCGACGGACTGCCTTTGTATTGGTTCGTAAATGACGAAGCAAAACGAAGACCAACCTTCGTAAAGGTTCGTCATTGACGGGGGTAAACGAAGGAAAAGCTCCGTAAAGGTTCGTCAGTGACGAAGCAAAACGAAGAAAATTCTTTGTAAGGGTTTGTCATTGACGAAGGTAAACGAAGATTAACCTACGTTTTGCTTCGTCAATGACGAAAATTTACGAAGAAAAATCTTCGTAAAGTTTCGCCAGCGCCTCGCCATTGACGAAGCAAAACGAAGGTTTTGCTCAGTCTGACGGAGATTTTTCTTCGCAGTGCGCAGCAGGCAGAGGCTCCGATACGCAGCACAGAGGTTGCCATTAGCTGGCGGATTGTGTATATATATATATAGTATACACATGTTAACTCGGTGTATGTGTTGTATTGAAGGAGGTTAATGTGGTTTTCCTAGTTAGTTGTTGTGATACACTACAGGAGTATTGGAAATCACTTGGCGCCACATTTGTAACTGTCATCATGGTGGATAAATCTGAGAGATTATGTCTTTTGGTGCATACTATTATCGGAAACTTGATGACGTTGAGTCCGTGGTAAAGAAATTTGCATCCGCCACCGCTTTTTGCAAGCATACGGCTGTGACTCCAAAGCATTATGAACGGCAACAGTGGAAGTGGTTGCCAGATGAGTACCCGTATCTGTACGTGCAGTATCCCTGTGTTCATGGCAGGCGTAGCAACTTTCCTGGGAAACAGTTAGTTGCTATTTTTACGGTATAATAAATGCTACACCGTTAGAGGATGCTGGATTGCAGAGCCCATTGCGCTCTCGAGTTGAATGTTGAATTTTACGAACGAGGGGAATTGCATTTGTTTCATTGTCATGGTTTCCATCTTGGGAAGCCATAGCTATATCCACAGAGCAGGCGGTTGACGGAGACGTGGGAGAAAGAGGGGTTTCCCTGACGTCCGTGTTCAACTTGCCAGAAGATACTTGCAAGTTGTCAGATCCTGCATCCATTTATTCACTGTCGGGTGTCGGTTTACTTGTTAGCAACGACCTTGTTAGTAACGAACCCTCAGACAGCGTGTTTGATTCGGCTGTTAGCGTAGGAGGACAGCAGGTTCCTGCCCTTGTCAAAAGAAGGCGAAAGAGGGCTAAAGAAGCGGAAAAACCCAGGGCGGACATGAGAGATCCGTCGGGCGCCCATTCCCCTCCTCAAATTCTACTGTTACGGAATCGTTGCAACTGGAAACCTCTAAGACACTAGAGTCTATAAATGGACACTAAACTGAAACCACCGACCTCCATGGAGCGTTCGGTAAATACTTCGCATCTCGGAGACTCGTATACCGACTGCAGTGTTATTTTCAGAAACGCCACTGAGTCTTCTGCTGTTCTCCCAAGAGACCGTATGCAAGATGACCTTCAGTGGTTTAG